AGATTAACAAAATTTAAACTTCAATTCGATAAAGTTATTTTTATTAATGAGGTTTGTTGTTGTTTAAAACACATTTGTTTTCCATGTAATTGGATTGTCATTAAAAATAAATTTTTTAGTTTTTAGGAATTATTTAAATGAATACTTACTCTTAATATTTGAGTCAAATAAAATTACTAACAACATTAATTAGATCCAAAACAATAATTATTAAAATAAATATATAAAAAAGGGTTCAACTGAAGTAAAAAGACAAGATTTTTAACGATTTTATAGAGTAACCAATGCAAAATGTACCAAGTTAACTGTTTTAAACAATAAAAAAATCAGAGTAAACACACAGTTTTTGATTCATTTTTGTTCATGTTGGTATATGGCAAGGAGCATTTTTTGACAAAGGGGTAAGTTTAACTGAAATGATATAAATAAAAAATATTAAATTGTGTTATGAATTAATAAAAAACAATTCAAAAACTGAGATATTTTAATAGTCAACTTTATTGGGGTTAAATAGTCACTTGTTTTTAATACGTGTTTTTAAATACAAAGACTCCAAAAACTTGTTTAATTTTATTTCACAATTTTGTTCATTTATTGTTCAACTATATTTTTTTGAATTGATTTCAAAAAAATGTATGAAATTGAATGGACCATTTTTTAATTTAAATGACTTTAATGTTTTGGGTTATATATTTATTGAATTTCAGTGAAGAGTTTAGTTGTTTTCAAGACACATTTTTAAAGACAATTCAATTATATATTGAATTTATACAGATGATAAAAAAGTAAGTCATTTTATTTAAAATTTATAACACTTCAAATACATTTTGTCGGGTGTATTTTATATAATTTTTTAACATAATTTGGTGTAATATTTACTATAGAAAATAAGCAAAACTTAATGTAAGTTGAACGACAATACACCACACGAAAGTAACTGTTAAACAATAAACATTGAGCTCGAAATTATTACAAAGAGTAAATTAAAATCACATGATGTTATTGTCATCAAAAAACACTTGTAGTTTGTGAACTGAAACCTTACAACAAACTTGTTTTATAAACTTATATAAGATTATATTTTTTATTTTTTTAAATTCAATAAAGTACAATGGATAAATAAATAGTTAGTTATTTTGGTTAAAAAAGGTTAAATTCAACTAATGAATTACAGCTAAATATGAGTTAAATTAATAAAAATATGCAATGACAAAACTTTCAAAAGCATCATAAATGAAACGACTTCGATTATTCCTTTTGTCTGTCGAACGAAACAATTAAATACAACATCATCAATTGGATATTTTAAAATGATGCTTTAAGAAAAACACTGAGGAAATCATGTTTATTTGAACGAAACACAATTAAAAAAAATACAAATATGATATCTTAACTTAATATATCTTGATGTTAAAAATAAGTTTTTTAATAAAATAAGTTTTTGTCACTAAATTATATAAATGTTTAATTAAATTTTAATGACTAATAGACATAATTGCTTTATTTATGGTAAATGGTTAAGGTGTTCAATAACAATTGAAAATATTTAATATCATTTTTTGTTATTTAAT